ATTTTTTTAATAATATAAAAATTATTTCGATAAATTCTTATATAGATACAAAAAATAATATATACTTATACATATGTACATATATCCAAAAAATTTCGCTTTTCGCTTCCTTTATTTTTTTTTGCTTAAATCTATGGTGGCTCATTTCGATGGACTTCCGCATTTGTTGCTCGAAATTCGCAAGTCCACAGGTAATGAGAGAATCTATAAAAAATGTAATGAAAAATCAATGTAAATATGTATGTATTAGGTGGAAGCAATTTCTGTTTGTGTGTTGTCGATATTTTCGCCACTTAGCACCACATTAGCACCTTACATTCGCGGACGGTTTTTTGTTGTACCATTTCTTCGCTTTTATGAATTTTCTGAAAAGAACAAGTGCAGTTAGAGAATACTTTAATAATGTCTAATCAACAACATCTATACAATACGTTTTCTTTGTATTGATGAATACTTATAGAACAATAAAAAGTTTTATGGACATAAACTTACATTTTTTTTCAAAAAGCTGTCCATCTTCCTTTCCATATTTTCAACTCTGGAAGAMAACTCTTGTAGTTGGGAGGAAATAGTTTTTAACATGTTAGAAACATTCGAAAAAGGTGTAAACATAATAAAGTAAAAATTTTTAAGAAATGAATTTTAACAATATATTGGATTACCATTTCCATCCTCAGGCAAATTGTTTAATTGTTGCTTTGAGAAGCTTGCCTCTGAGTTGTAGCAACCAGAAATATTGAATTTCTTCCGTTTAAATGTCAATTGTTCTACAATAACAAATGCGTAAAAATAAATTGAAAACTAAAATGACAATTTTACATGTACCTTTTACGGGAGTCGACGTTGTTGGGCATTGCTCCAAATAGGTGTCATCAAATGGTGATGGTGAATCCATCTCATTAAGAAATAAAACTTTGGCAGCATCAAAATTCATTTTAAATAACTTAATAATAATATAATAAAATACCATCGGGACAATACAATAATTACAGTGAAAAATTCTAATTTGAAAATTCATGAAATAGATGATGTAAAATCGGAATTAAAAGAAACTTGCTCTCATGTAGAATAGAAAAATATTTATAAATTATATCTTCTTTCTTCTAGCCTTAAATGTAATTGCTGCAGGATTTTATTGGGCTTATTTATAACTTGTTTTAAATATTGCATGTGATTTTCAAACTTGTAAGCGGAAAAGTTGTCTAGAGGACCATATTGCTTGGTACAGTCAGTTAAATGGAGTAAACCATGTATATTGTAACTAGCTTCAGTGCTATAAGTGCTATAAGACTTCTTGCATGATAGTAGCCTTATACCTGTGTGCAATAAGAGGAAATGGTAGTAATGGTCATCACCAATGCAATCCTTTAGGACAAATATACCTATATACAATAAGAACTGCGTAAACTCTGTCGCTTTCCAATTGCTGATTTCATCTACACTTCTACATATTCGACCGAACTCTGAGGGAACTAAATTGGAAATAAATGTAATTTTTTCGTTAACTTTGCTTACGTTTATATTGCCTTTTTTAATCAACAATTGAAGCAACTTTTTACATTCACCAATATCTACAAGGTGCATTGGGTCTAAAGGAAATTGTGAAACCATTTTGAAATTTCCTGACTCTAAATTTGAAAGGATTAATGTGATGTGATCTGTCACTTCTACTTTTAAAAGATTGGTCAGTTCTTAAATGTTTTATTATACTATGGGGATAGACGACACACATGTGCGTGCAATCAGTATGTTTGCGATTGCGGTTTATAGCAGGAACAGTCAAAAACGCTACTGCCTTCCTCCCTTTT